CATTTCATTGCAGGACAATTGGCCTCGGCTGGGACAACATAAAAATTCATATCAGCCCGAAATTTGTACGAGGCGTGACAGTGTCACCGAGATTTCACTAGATTTTGTTAGGTGTTAAAATTTCACTTCAGTGTGCTACATTATTCAGCAAGGGATCACTTTGCTGACTGCAATGACACGTTTTACAGGGTTGTTGGACATGCCAAATATCCTCGGCAATGTAGGAATCGTTTTTCTTTTGTCGTAATGCACGCCGCAAATTATGTATTTGCACATACATTTCAAGACCATAACTTGACTCTTCTTATGCTCAAAGAAAACCGATTTAATCATAACAGATTTAATTACTGTCTCTTTACAATGACTCACTATGATGTCCCAAAAAACCGCCTAACAACTTGAATTTCTTGCAAAGGAGCACTTCGAAAAAACTTGCGCGCACATGACACCCCTTAGGAAGAGCCCTTCATGGATCGTACCTGAAGTGAATACGCCTTTAGCGAATCTTGAATACAGCAAGGAAACTTTTTCAACCAAATGATACTTTGTTACAGCAAATCTTGACCACACCTGAATTGCCTGTTTCGGAGCAACTACAGCGCACCATCATCACAATCGGAGATATTTTGCAAAGGCTGTAAAAATGAGACGCATTGGAACAAAAATAAAGTGCAACGACCCTTACCTCTTTCTGCTTGTGGAATCCAACCTGGCCAACCTCCATTCCTTGCGTCTTTTTCAAATTGCCCCACATGGTGTACACAACATCGATGGAGTTCATCTTGTTGCCTGGACAAGAGAATAGTTCGCAGTGAATATCGCAGCCAATGCTCGCGTTAATTAAGAATGCCTTTACACATGAAAGCACTGCATTTTACAAGAGTGGCATGATGGATGAGTTGGTAATGCTCCATTATGTAACTGCACAAAAAACAAATGGAAACAAAAAGAGAGAAAATTGCCTGTTTGTGTTTTTCCCTCCCTTTGCATTTCCGTTTGTTTTTTGTGCAGTTATATAAAGGATCATTGCATTTCAACTGTTTGTGCATAGAAAACTATACAGTTCTTTCTACAGTGCGTGCATCTGTACTGCTCCTCTAGCACAACAGCGTTTCCTTGTTATCAAGAATTCAACACAGGCCAACACTGGCCAGAGATAGTAGACGAAATTTTTGTGTGATGTCACTAAAGAGGCTTCTCGTAATGCTGGTACCTAAACACTGCAGCCACAGATACATTGAGAGACAACGCTGTCACGTGCACGTCGGGTAGCACTTGACGATAGCAATTTTTCCGTGGATCAGCCCAGTTACCAATTTGTTCTTTGACACAAGACATGCCTGTCCTTCTGTCTTTTACATGTCTTTTCAACATGCTAGCACTCTAATTGGGCGGATACCTTAACTTAGCGATTGGAGCATGTAGTAGTAAGTGAAAAGACAGGTCTTTGTTAGGGGCACGAAATCAATAGCCCGGAACGACAAAAGAACACAAACACATGACAACAAAGAGACATGCTACAGCTTGATAGATGCACAGTTTCACACAAGTGTTAGAATGAAAAAAAAAAAAAAAAACATGCCTTATGGTTAAGGCTTGGAATATCAATATAACTGGTACAACAAGAGTGCTTACTAAACTTCCTCTTTGTGAAAGTAGATGTGTGAGCCCGCCTCTGATTATTTTGCATAAAGAATAAATGTCACACTCAAATGGACATCACTTGCACAGACCAGCGTATGTGCCGTATCAACAGGACACGCTGCCAGCACGCCAGGATAAATTTTCAGTCAGTCGCCTGTTTTAACACAATGCAACGTTTCTGTCTAAAGCATTGTTTGTTTCCCTACATTTGCATTCGTGTCTGGACACTTTACATTTCTTAAATGCAAAGCTTTTCTCAGCGAACTTTGGCAACATTGAGCATATTTATCAATTTATCTAGCTGCTTACGTTTGGGTGCTCTCGTGGTCCCCCGTTCCCTTGGCGCAAACCAAAATTAGCATGGAAGGGTAAGATGGTTTGACGAATAAAGCACGCCAGTCAAGACATGAATAATGTCACAATCCCCTCGCGTACGTCGTCAAACACTTCCCGCCAGACAGTGGCACATACCCATGGGCGGGTATGTGCCAATGGGTATGTTTGTATGTGCCACAGGTGATTGACACTTAGTATCTACCCAGGAACAACGAGAACACACATGGGCAACTGTAACGTGTGAGCATTAAGAAATACCCCACATTGGTGGCGCCGGCCCAATGAATGCAAAGAATAAATGTCAGGATCCCAGCTGGAATCGAACCCACGCATTCTGTGTGGCAATGAGGCATTTTACCACAAAGCTACGCCAGGTCTCGAAACCATTTTTCAAATACACGCTAATCTTCGTGAAACGTCAATAGTGGTCGCAGTGCTGCCTATCCAATTTTACAAACATTACATATGTACTCCTTTGATACAGCCGTCACTTCGAGTTAATGTCAATTGTGGTTAGTTACCATGCGCTGAAGTTGATTTGTGTAGCAATGTCCAGAGTCAGCATCCTCGCGAGCATCAGCGCTTCATATCAGTTTCTAGTGTTGCGAATACGCATTTTCCAGTTGGCTCCATAGCGCAAGTGCAAACAACTGGTTATATAAACATCTGCAACTCTTCAACATATGTCTGTGCATGCAACATTTGCACATACATTTAGCGTCATTTCATGACGTGTCGCTCAATTGAAAAAATTGCGACACGGTCACCTTCTTTTGCATGCTTTGCATAACGTCAATTCCCAGCTACGTGAGATCAGCCGATTTTTTTTTTTTTTTTTACGATCAACAGCAGTCCCAGCCAACGAATCATTGCTGTGGCAATTTATAAGAGGATAATAAAATGTGAATGAAACACCTCGTAAACAAAGCATTCTGGTAACTGTAGCTCGAGAGAAACGTGAATGCAAAATGAACCTCATTAAATGTTGAACAGAAATTGCCGCAGCCACTTGCGGTGAGTAAAGTTGACGAGACGCTCACAGCACCTTGAATGCTGTTCGCCTTCACAAGTTGTGCGCAGTCCTCAAGAACGCTCGACGGCACGTCGTCCAGGGTTTGGTTCTGCAAGCAAGGCAATATTACGACACTGTTAATGATGCTATATAACTACTTGCCGTGATTCTTAATGTTGTTTCATGGTAAAGCTCAAAACACAAAGAGGAGGGCAGCGCGGTAAGGTTCCGGGCATCTAGTAACACCCGAAGCGAAGCGAGGGACACAAAATGCCAGTATGCACATTGTGATTGTGCGTTATTTGTCATTATAACAACGTTACTCGTAACAAAAAAAAAAAAAAACGTCTAGGCTAAAAGCATTCTGAACGTCAGTAAGCAAGCTGCTTCATCTTCTCTAATAAAAAAAAAGTTATTCTGTGGTTCTGACGCGGTATCTTTGAGGCACGTCATAGCGGGGCGACCACAGGTTAATTTTAAACACCTGAGAGCTCCTTTAACGTTAACCTGAATCCAAGTACGCAGGCATGTTTACATTTTACCTCCGTCAAAACGAAAACGCCGTGGCGGGAGAATCAAACCCGCGGCATAATTTAACGCACCACGGCACAGGAACAGAGAACTGCTGTAAGAATCGTTCCGGAACTTCTTGGTCGTAGTTTGTTGAATCATCCCTCAAATCCGACACTCTCTTGCATGTTCGTTCGTCGCGCAAATGGAGAATGCACAAGTTTTCACCTACGGGTTGCAGCCGAAGGTACACATGGGCCGAAGACACCTTATCCACGTGGAACCAGACATCTTCTGGCCAGCCCCACTTGATCAGATCTTCGTCTGGGTAAAACAAAGAAAAGACGAAGCAGTACAAAACCAAGATGATGGCAGTCGCGGGTGAAATGCGTCCCGACGCAAACGAAGTAATTGGGAACGAAACAGGAACTCACTTTCGAATTTGTCCACTCCCATGAAGATGACAGCCGGTGGCGAAACCACTGCAAGTACGCGACAAGGAGTCAGTAAAATGGCATTACTTCGTCAGCAAAGTCAAACAACCGAAGTAAGTCACCTCAGCGAAGCAGATGGTGCGAATTTATCACCACAGACACGTCCCGTAAATTGAGAAACGAGGTGACGTGACACCAGTGACTAGACCACAGCGCGAGACAGCTGCTTTGAAAGCGCGTATAGCCGTTCTCGCCCACCTCTAAGCCGTTTACGGGGCATTATACTGATCGTTTAGCTTACTCACCGGTACTTTTGAAGTAAATCACCATATTTCTCGCCTTTCCAGGCCAAAAAGGCCGCAGCAATCACTGACGAAAGACGACTACACTTCACAAAGTTCCAGCAAAACTGGATTACGTCGACTCGGCTAGTTACGCCTGTAAGGTTGCCTGTGGATTTCTGCCACTCAAACACAATTGTGACAAATCTCAAAGGCCCTGTATAAAAAAAGTGACGTCAACGTAGCCATGTTTTTTTTTTTTTATAAATTTTATGGCTTGGCTTGGATTAACAATTGCTGGTGGGATGGGCAACATTGTACATCCAGTTGTTGATCCGGCGCGAATACAGATGACTGAAGCTCGCGTCTAACGAACTTTTATTTTATCGGTTTCGTGAGCGAAATTATTTAATCGGACTTCTCCCGTTTTTTTGATCGCCTCGAACCTAGGGGTTCCTTCGGTAAGTTTGTTTCCCAACATCTTTACCTAAACCAATCGGAACGGACTCTGAGTGGGTATCGAGATTTATTGGTAGCCGATCGACTATTTTCAAACTGAAATAAGGAAGAAAATTAAGGCTGTTGAAGCTTTTACTGCGCCTGTGCGTTCACTGCTTTACGGTTTTCACATTAAAGTTTGATTCAACGTGCACTGTCCTTTGCGTTTCCGTGCTTTTGTTGTGTCTATGTTGATGTTATGGTTTAGCGCTTGGCTCGTTGACCGTTACCTTGCGCCGGTGTCAAAGAACAATTTGTAAAAATCACCATTTATACGCAGGTGCTCCAAAATGCCTTACGAGGGCAGGAAGTCGAGTAATTTTTACTCCCCGACCAACTACCTGAGTCCGCTCGAACGAAAGCGCCTGCGAGCCATCGAGAACGAACCGAAAGCGACGGAAGTTACTGTCGATCGCGCTTCCAACAAGCGCTCCACGAAGAAGACCACTCCAAAACGTCGCGACAGTGCCGGTAAAAAAACACAGCCGCCCAGCAAGCGAAAGCGGAGTGTTTCGGATTCCACGAGGACTGCCGCGGCGAAGCCAACCACGCGACAACGACCCGCCTTGACCCGCAAGGCTTCTTCGGCGGCTTCCGAGAAGAAAACGGTGGTTATACCGCTGTCTGAGAGTAAGCGGACTGTCCCGGTGCCGGCGGCTTCTTCGGAGAGTTCCGAGCCGCCCGCGAAGAAAGTCCGCAAGTTTTTCTCCTCCGGACTGCGCGCGCCGGTGAACGCAGCCGTGAGCAGTTCGATGGCGGTCGCCACGGCCGTCTCGTGGAACAAAAAGTTTACGCTGAAGTTTGAGCCGACCGTCGCACCGCTGAAGAAACCGCCGACCTCCGGTTCGCTCAAGCCTGCTAAGAAGAAATTGCTGATGACTGTGCCGTTCAGACCACCCAAATCAACAGCAGTAACGGACGCGTCCGTGAAGAGCGTCGACGTCCTTTTGCCTGAGTCGGAGTTAGTTGAAACACCCGGTAAACATACAACATACCGTGGTGGGTCACAGAAACATGTAAACGAAGTAGCAAATAAAACAGCAAGAAAAGAACTAGCCGTGACAGTGCCTTTCAGACGACCGCAGACGACCATTGCCACCACTGCGAGGGCTGACCTTACTGTGCAACAAGTACCACGCAAAATACCCGAGGAAACGAGGGGCGTAAATGTGGAGATGCGTGAGAAAAAACATGCTGAAAGGACAAGTGTACCTCACAAGCCGCTAGAAGAAGCAAGAGCCAAAAGCAGGACAAAGATGCGAGACGCAGAACAGGCCAAAACTACAACTGAAAGTAGAGATGCGCGTACAAGCACCCTTGGAGCAAAGGTGGACATCTTGGAAGAGATGGGGCACGAGTCTTCTGGTGTGTGTGAGCCGTGCGGCAGAGTTAATGACGACGACGCTGAGATTCATGAGGATCACTATTCCGTAAACAAAGGTGGCGTCCCATCTTTCGCAACTGAGCATGAACGTTCTGTTGCATGCCTAGAGACTGAAGCAGAGCAAAGCAATGCTGCTGTCGCTACCCCGATTCTAAGCAGTAGCACACGCAGTTTCATGCTCCTAGACCGACACGGCAGTGCAAACTGTTCCCTTCCCCTGCGAAGATTGCGAACAGATGCACAGGATACTGCAGCTGGCAGGAATTTCGGAGAGCGTTCCTTGCCCCTGAAAGCATTATGCCCAAATACACTGGACAGTGCAAAAGGCAAAGAGTTGTCCAAAAGGGCAAGTACACCGCCGCCTCCAGAAAAATCTGGCTGCTCGAACAGAGAGCCTCTCTATCCAGTCTTCTCGACACCAACCTCAAACCGCAAGAAAATCGCTGCGCGGCCACAAATACCCACCTCACCAATCGAGATGCCAAGAAAACGGTTCATGCTGAGATCGTCGGATCCGGCGCAGCTCATAATCGACGCCGGACAAAAGAAGTTTGGGCACACTACGTGTGGCACGTGTGGTATGGTGTACACGATCGGAGACGTCGAAGACGAGAAGCTGCATGCCCAGCACCACCGGTCCTACCTGTCCATTATGAAGTTCCCTGTGAGTACTCATATTTTAATCAGTGTCGTCATGTTGTCTTCTGCCCACTGCAGGATGAACGCTTGTCCCAATGATCTCCAGTTTACCTCACCCCGTGCTAGCTGATTTGATCCAAAGCCTGCAAATTTCTTAATTTTGTCCCTCAGCCTAACCCACAGCTGTGCATGCATTCAATCAACTGAACATAATTTGCACAGCTTTGCACTGCGTCACGCATGAGATAATTGCAAAGGCACAGCACAACCAGAACATGTGGGTGCAAATTATCAACTGTTAATCTGTCGTGAAGCACCACCTTTAGATTATCACTCCGAGGAACTTGGCCTCGCACTGTGAAGAGTGCAGATGCGAGGCCTTGCTTGAGCAGACGAAGGTCTTGTTTCACACGCCGCAACAACAAAAGAGAGAAATAGTTGGGACCTATAGCACGGCATTGGGAGAATTCGTGCATGTGTAAGGATTCCAGCTTTGTTGTCAAACGAAGTAGAATTGATTTCTGAAGTGATACGTTCTAGCCCTTGCACTAAGAAGCGAGCTCAGGAACGCTGCGCAACATTGCTACACGCACCATTCGTGATAGTTTCACTACTCTTGCTTATTTTATCGCCTTTCATGCTAACACTTTCCCCATTTCCTCATTGCTTCTTTCTTGAGGCAAGCTCAGGTGGTGCTTCACTTTAGACTAACAGTTGATAGTATCTCCTGTGTACCACCCATGCAGCGCGAAACCCCCGCAACTTATGTCCAACTTATATCGAAAAGGTGCTTTATCGTTCAATCAGCTGCAAAAAATTACCGTCAGCAGGATCTGCGATAACACTGAATTAATGCACTGCTTCTTCTTTTTCCGTGACGTCTTTACATGTCTGCTTTCTATTTTCATGCTTTTGTGAAGAGGCGACCATTATACGGAGTTCTATTTCTTTTGGCGAATTCTACAAATATTTCTCTTTGTTTATAATGGTGATGCTCGTTTTTTTTTTTTTTATAGTTACATTTTCGGCACGAAAAGGTTAGAGTTAAACCACTGGCAGACAAATGCGACGCAGATGTCCAGACTCCAGAGGAAGAAAGCCTTGCTGAAACCAAGTGTTCCTACCTCTCACATATCTACAAGCACAGCGTCATTGGCGTGGGCCTTCAATCGTTTCCCGGTCTTCTCATGGTCCCCCTCACCGTTTCAGTTCTCCAGTATTCTCTCATACATCGTTAAGGTCTTTGGCCCGTCGCCTCACAGCGATTTTGTAGGGGGTGACCGTTGCCGTCTTCATTCTTTAGTGGACCAGCAGGAAGTCGTGGGACTTGCTCAATTTCTGTGGCAAATATTCATGACGATGATAGCTTTCTGTGCCTATCCGTTGTAGCTCAAGCTTTAACAGCCATTGAAACTTGGCTGTGTGCTCGCTTACGCAGGGCTGGAAGAACCAGCGCGAGGTTGGCATCTACCCAGACGGCAAAGTCATCATGGTGTCGCCAAATGACCCCAAGTGCATGCTCAACAAGATGAACGAGATACAGCGGGTGGTGGACAGGTGAGCACATGGCTGCCTCTAAGAACTCCGACAATTTGCCTCTTAGAACTTTGACATGCAGTGACAGTATTCGGAGACTGTGCCTTTTGCAGATATTGCCGCAATATTGCTATTGGTGTGTGCCGACTGGCTGGTCAAAGAAAGTGGCCAAGCAGTCAATTCAGTCTGGGACTCGATAGATTATGTCACATGCAAAGCAGCATTGTTGCCAATAGTTATTGTCTGAGGACATGGACCCAAGTCAAAGAAATCCTTACCACTGACATCTGAAGATTGGAGCCCTCTATGTTAACCAGTTGTACCGATTCGTGACCATAACAATTTTGTAAGATTAGTAGACAATATCTTATGGTAGCGTGCCTAGTGCATCTTTTACTGTCCATTGCATTTACCTTTGGTAACATCTCATAGTTAGAGAATTCTAAGATGAGAAAGCACTGCTCCTTTGTATATGTAGAAGTGGCCGACTTCCTCTGCAGTATGTGTTAGACCTGAGCATGTAATTTATTAAGTTAATAAATTGAGCCAACTTTATTGCAGACTATGTCGTATTGCAGTACTAAGGTTCACTATACTGGGGTAGTAATGTGCACTTGTAGTGTGCGTATTTTCAAGCCCTAAACATTGATTTGTGGAGCATTTTAGCATCAGGTACCACAAAAAGATGTTTCTGTCTTCTTTTTTTTTTTTTGTCCTGTGTGATTAAACATTAAAATTCTAGCAATACTATGAAACACAAGAAATAACTTGTAAGTGGGCATTGGCTCTGGCAAATTGATAACTGTTATCCTCACTAGCATGTTTTCATACGCAAATAAAAAGATTCAAACACACAAAGTGGCATCAATTCACTAGTGATGTAGAGTAAAGCTAATCTGCAAACATGATGTGACAGCTTTCATGCTGAATTGCTGTACAGTGAAGGGTAAAAGAAACTACAAAACAACTGACTCATGAACCGCTGGTGTGAGTGGTGTGTTGACAGCATCGAAATTTATGCCTTTCAGTTTTTTGTTTTTCACAAGAAAAAAGAAAGACATTACGAACCACGGTGACGCTAACAGTTTCTTTCTTTTCCAACTTTTTAAAGGGAGCTGGGCATACTGGTAGACAGGACAGCTCCTCCCCGTGCTCCTCAGATGTACTTTGTCTTTGTGTCGTACACGAAGAACGTGCTCGGGTTCCTCTCAGCGCAGGAGATCAAGCAGGTGAGTCTCCGCGTTTTGTCTCCCTTGTTTGAGCTGTGGTTACAAGCTTATCGAAAACTCTGGTAAAACTTCGTGGCCTGGCGACAAATTCTTACCAGTATTCTTTACATGAATGTTACCCAGGTGCGACATAAGCCTGGGACTAAGCCACACTCTGATGAGGAGGTCCGAAGAAACTGTCCCCTTACCATCACACTATCTTGCTGATTGGCGCACGCTTGATGTTAGAGCTGCGCAATGCAGCTGTCTGTTGTGCTCTAGTTTCAACTGTGGAGACTGCACTTCCTTTGCCTATAACCTCACATTCCCCGAGAATGCGCCTTAGAGATCCACAAGTTCAGGCGCACAGTATGCAGTTCTCGTCTGAATAGATTTCTTGGATATATCTCCCTGGAACAAACGGGGTCGGTTGAAATGTCTGGGTCTGTAACTGCCTGCAACCCATCACTTTCGTCCTGTCGGGTTTGGTGGTGGATCAACACGCCTGGACTTTTTATAATATTTCGTAACGTCCATCCCCCGATACCGAGTGGCCACTAAAATTAAGTGGCGTGTTCTGCTGCGCTGAACAACCGTCAGCAATGTAATGAGCTGTGGCCACGGTGCCTCTCTGTGCTATTTCCGATTGTCTAGACGTAGTACCAGTTCATGTCACTAAGTTCTCTGCCATTAGCAACTGCGATTCCCTTCCCTCCCCTAACAACCATTCTGTAGTGAATGTTTCCTCGTTTGCTTGATTTGCAATGACATGTTTCATGCATGACTAGCCAGCCGCTGTGGTATGCTAGCAGCTACAGTGTTTAGCTGATGACCTGAAAGTCGTGGGTGTGATCGCGCCCACGGCGGTCGCATTTCGATGGGGGTGAAATGCTAAAGGCCCACGCACTGTGCAATGTTGGTGCACGCTAAAGAAACAACACCCGATAGTCAAAATTTTCAGAACTCACCACTACGGCATGCCTCATAACCATATTTTGGTTTTGGAAATTATTATTATCTTGTAAAACTACGAATATTATTAGGCTGTATTAAATGGACAACAGCGTTTAGGCATCACTGTAATGCTTTGCACGCTTACATGCTTCCGAATTGTTTCACGCGCAATCAAGTCGTGCCAGCACACTGTGTCGTCCTTGTCTTCCTCGCACAGGGCTATAGGGTGATCCCCAATGATGACGGCAACATGGGCAACTCTATCTACGCCGAGACCGAGCCAGTGCCCGCCGTTTGCGGAGTCAGCCGGATATGGACAGCGCCATTCTACAGGCGGAAGAAGGTGGCATCGAGGTTGCTAGACCGACTTCGGTAAGCACCGAATCTCGCCTCGCGTGATGTACTGTGGCGGTGTAACAACCTCACGGTGCAATGTAGTGGGCTCGATGCCCGGCCTCCGCGGTTGCTTCAGAGAGGCATAAAGCACAGAAAAGTTCACTGTGTGCAGGGACAGACATATTTCGCTTAATCTGTTAGAAAAGATCTACTATATTGCACTTACTAATGCTGTGTTCTTGCTCATGTTTTATGGCAAGACAACACATGATGGTCCTCATCATTCTATTATTATAATGTCTAACTGTTCTTTCTCGCCTTTTTTGGGTGCTGTTTAGTGATCTACATGTATTTAGTAACCAAACATTCATTGCGAGGCCCTGGAGAAAGTAGAGGCCTGAAGTGATGCACTAGTTAAAGGGTCCGACAAGCACTTTTTATGGTGCCTGTTTTCTTCAGCGAAGCAGAAAGCTTACCAGTCCGAGTGCCTAATGACAGAATGGTAACGTAAAAAACTCCGTGATACGTTTGTAATCAGAACTTTTCTATCTGCGGCGAATATGAAGTTGTCCACACCTGTGACAATGATGCTCCAAACAGTGAGTGAGTGAGCAGTTTGTGTTCGAATGCGGTGATTTACTGCGCGTGTGGGCACTCTATACCGCTGGTGGTTGCGAAGGCAGCGCCGCTTCTCATTGTGCCGCTCCTTCTTACCTTGTAATCAGCACAGAATTGAGCGAGGCTGGACAAGAATATACATACTACTTTGAAAGCTAATTATCGTGCGCACGGGGGCGTCCGACTACAGGTCTAAATGCACCAATATAATCGACTCCATAATCAAGCTCCGAGGCTCTCCACTAGGTTGTGCAACATACCAGTTTTAGTTACCTTTAAACACAATTTAAAAATAGAAATTCTACTTAGTTCACGAAAAAAAAAAAGCTTCAATCTGTCACTATAATTCACGGTCTTTTCATTGCCAATAAAATATAATCGCACGTTCTGGCCAGTTGTCGGTCCCTTTAAACAAGGAATGTCCCTGTAGCCCAGTATTTCGAATGTTGTTGTGGTTACAGTGCTTAGTTACTGATTCAAAGGTCGCGGGTTGGACCCTGGCCGTGGCAGTCGCATTTCAGTAGATTGATTGCTTGATATGTGGGGTTCAACGTCTCAAAACCACCATATCATTATGAGAGACGCCGTAGTGGAGGGCTCTGGAAATTTAGACCACCTGGGGTTCTAACGTGTGCCCAAATCTGAGCACACGGGCCTACAACATTTTCACCTCCATCGGAAATGCAGCCGCCACAGCCAGGATTCGATCCCGCGACCTGCGGGTCAGCAGCCGAGTGCATTAGCCACTAGACCACCGCGGCAGGGCAGTCGCATTTCAGTAGAGGCAAAATGGTAGAGGTCCGTGTATTGTGCGATGTCTGTGCACGTTCAAGGATCCCCGAGTATTCATACTGAAAATGGTACCCTTGACAAGCTCATCATCAGACACTCGACATCTCCCGTCGAATGGCTTTTCGTGCAGCACTGGCTAATATTGACTCGTGCAGCACTAGATACAACACGGACGACAAAAAGCTCATAGACATCACTTGTGCTCGCGCCATACAAGTCGATTCAAAATAAATTAAGACTAACACTGCTACTTTTGTTATTCCTAATTGCATATGTATTTTAATGAATCCTGCTGTTTTATTTTATTCGTCAGAGTGCTTGTCACAGCGTGTGAAGTCGTACAGCTGTCCACTTACCTCACAGTTTGCTCTACTTGCGCGTCTTTTTAGGATGAACTTCTCCTTTGGCTGCCCGCTTGACTCTCGCAAGATCGCCTTCTCCGATCCCACGCTCATGGGCCGCGAGCTGGCCGCTGCGTACACGCGGAACGACAGATTCCTTGTGTTTGGCCCCTGACGTTCATCTCTCTGCCTCCCAACTCTCAAAGTTCAAATTTTCTATGTCATTCACAAAGTTCTTGAACCACAGCGCCTCAAAGAAACCAAATTTTTATCTTACCATGAAGCCATCCAACCACAAAGTTGTTACCCCAAATAATTCTGTGGTTTAAAAGTGTTGCTTGCAAGTTCTTTGTGGCAACTCTCTCACGCGAGATGGGAATATTGTCAGCAGTTCGAGTTACTCATAGCACGGCAGAAAACTTTAGTCTCCTCGTGGCTTGCACGCTTTGTCAACAATGGTGATGATTGACATGGCGCTGTGAAGCATGTTATAGCTATCAATTTGTCTAGTCACTTGTTAAGGCGTCCGATAACACCATCACCTTAACATCCACTATGATGGAGCCAACGAGTTGACAGAAAACAGCAAAACCGGTCACACACCAGCCCACCCACCAATTTACATTATACAGCACCTAGTTCGCATCTCGGTGTCAAAGAACACTATCGTATTGACACTCGTCATGGAGTTGACAGGTAGTGTGAAAATTTGTCACATGCCAGACATACTCACCTATGCACATTGTCCCCCATTGTTTGCATTTCAGTGTCAAATAACACCATCACATTGACAATGCTGTGACGAGAGTTAATGAGTAGGCATACAAAATGTCCTGCAGGTCCCAAGCGGGACAGGTCTCCCAACGTGCATTGCACCTGTGCGCAGGATGCTGTTTAATTTTTGTTGTAGCCAGCTCATTGTGCTTAAGACATTGCATCTAACCGCAAACAATGCTTTAGTTCATACAGTGCACCAGAGATGTTTAGCATATGCTGTCACCGTGCAAAGTTGATGTTGACTTACTAACAGAAGCACTTAACAATTTCGAGGGCGACTTGTTTATGGTTTCTAGTTCTACAGCAGCGTGACAGGGTTGACAAGTAGTCACAAAAATGTGTCACAATTCACACACTACTGTACAATGTGGTGTGCTGTTAACGAGAACACTTGTACATTATTAAATGTGAGATGAAAAGAGCATTGTTCTTGTAGAAAGGGAAAAAACACATTACATTTATGCGCAGGGCACTCTTACACAGTCTTTTTGTCATATCTTTGCGACAGTAAGTGATCGATTGCTAACGACTCCTTCATTTTTAACAGGAGACCACGCTGTACATGGTATCATTGGACAAAGTGTACCTCGCACTGCAAAGTTATGTTGTTGTTATTATTGCCTTTGCCAGTTAGGTATCCACAAACGTAGCCTTTCCACTGCAAGTGGTATTTGTAAGGATCACAGCGGATGATCCTGAGAAATTGTTTTGTTGCTAAGACATTGACACTCTCTATATTTTTGTACAGCAATGGCTTTGCGTTTTTCTCTTTGTGTACTGACTGACTGCAGAAGCCGGCGGAATAATTTCTGCTTTGTGCTCTGAACAAATAAAAATATTGTATTTCTAAAGCACTTGAACTGGCCTTGTCTCTTTCTTGAAAATGAGAGAGCTGGATTCCGTGAAGTCGACTGCCCGTGTTTTTTTGTGTTTTTTTTTTTCTCCCAGGTAAACAGTTCAGTGATGCTGCAACGTACACACTTAGACCTAGATATACCGAAACATTACTTGTAACAAAATAAAAGAACAATACCCTTGCAGTAGATATATAGCTTAAAATACACTTTAACGAATTATCAGTTATAATGAACTTATTTCGTGTAACGTGCAACTTCATTATAATGAGCTTTGAGTGTAATGTCGATTAAAGCACTTCTTTGGTAATACAAACTGTTGCTGCAAATGCACTTTCGCGATGGAAAACACGAACAACAGAAAGCATGGCATTTGGAACAGACAGTCGAGGCTCTGACAAGACTCGACTGTCTTTAGGACAATTCGTGCTTTCAGTTGGCATTACTGTAGCGCTAGAATCTTGATTGATTGATTGATATGTGGTGTTTAACGTCCCAAAACCACCATATGATTATGAGAGACGCCGTAGTGGAGGGCTCCGGAAATTTTGACCACCTGGGGTTCTTTAACGTGCACCCAAATCTGAGCACACGGGCCTACAACATTTCCGCTTCCATCGGAAATGCAGCCGCCGCAGCCGGGATTCGAACCCGCGACCTGCCGGTTAGCAGCCGAGTACCTTAGCCACTAGACCACCGCGGCGGGGCCACTAGAATCTTGCTCATGTGGGCGCTATCACACTGTGTGCGTTACGAACGTCAGGCATGACTGACATATGAGAAGTATGCGTGGCGGAAAAGCACCAGCCTAAGCAAGATTCTAGTGCTACAGCGAAGCTGGCTAGAGGCACAATTTTGTCTGGCAACAGTCAAGGCATTTTGGAGTTTGGCTGTGCCAAAGCCGCACTTTCTGGTGTTCATGCTTTTTTCCACCGCGATAGTAAACTACCAGTCGTACAGAACTCTGCTAAATCTTACTTCCTAGGGCTGACAGAGGCGAGCAACTTCTCTTGAACAGAACAGCGGCATTTCGGGAGGCCTTTCATCTTCCTGGGGCCTGCAAATCACACAACGTGACACGGCTCACTCTCAGAGTGCCGAGAAAGCACTGCAAGTGACTTTGGATCTCTACAGAACATTCCAAAACAAAGTTTGCAAGTCAGGTTGAATCAGCCCGAAGATCAAACCCATCAAGTATACAGTTGAACTCCTTTACAAGAGACATGAACCGGGCAGCTGTTGTTCTTTATATGAGGTTGTCTCTTATAAGCAGAGTACCACATATGCATTTCCCTATCAATCTCTCAATGAATGTAACAGCGTTAAAGAGCTTGTTTCGCAGAAATTTCAGTGTCAGTGGCGTCGTGTATGGTTGCGAGCAAAAAATCATCCTGTGCGTGACCGAAAAATCGAGAAAGATGCAAATAAAGTAACAAAAATTTGGGGCCTTAGTGAGGATCCAACACGGGTTGTTTTGCTTGCTAGCGAGTGTTCTACCACATAACCACAAGTCTGCTTGTGAATACAGTGAAATTAGCTTCCTCTGCTTGGAAATGCTTTTAAAGCAACTTGTATGCTTTACAAAAGCATGCATCTTGTATACATGCAATACAATGGAACATGTAATATCGCAGTAATGTGTGGTACAAGCATACATTGCGATCGGGCATCAGAACATGTGATTATCACGACTACATGGTTCAAAGCTGGCCACCCACTACAAAAGAACCCCAGGTGGTCGAAATTTCCGAAGCCCTCTACTACGGCGTCTTTCATGATCATATGGTGGTTTTGGGACGTTAAAGTCCACAAATCAATCAAATCACCCACTACAAGAGACACACACGTTACTGCGCCTTGGGTGCATAGCAAGTTCAAAAAGATTTCACGCGCACAAATGCCTGTGGTTTAAAGCATGCTATCCATTACACAGAATGCAGCAACATGCGAAAGCTTCACTTATACAAGCCCTTTTGAAGTTGGTACACACTTGTAACAGGATATTGCTATCGAATTCAACTCTTCACGGCGTAGCTTAAGAATACCCCAATTTTTATTTATGCAGGTACAGTGGTGTCTTGTACCCAATAGTTTGTTACTCAGTGTCTCTTATAAAGGGGCTCGACTGTAACCTCAAAGTGTTTCCAAATGTGTAATCAAGCGCCAATGATAGCTTTTAAGTATACTTTCCCTTCCTACTGAAAACAATGGTGTTAACGTATGAACGGTATGTGCATACTTAAAACAAGACAATTTAGAGGAAAGTATTGCAGATACGTTCATTACCACCTTCTTTAGTTCGAGTCACATCGCCATAGTTTTGTTTTCGACGTGTTAGGTTAGAGCCAACATTATGTTTTAGGAGCAGCTTCGTCACAACACAGTGTAGTTATCTTTAGAAATTGCACACACCAATCATCATTCTAAATCATTTTAAGTCATGTTTCAATCCGTAAGGACAGTTGAGCACACAGTGAATGAGCACATTCACTGTGCTCATTCACTAAAGGCAATTAATTGAGTAATCGTCTTTAGTACTTGCTTCCAAGGTGTCGCGCCACAGAGCAAAAACTGCATGCTCGACACAGATGTGGCCGCGGCTGTACAGGGGAACCTAATTATAACGAACACTGATGCAGCCAATCACCAGGCATAGCAAACTAAGTATGAACTTTTGCTAGGCTTCATTTAAGGGACGGTTGTTTTTATAATGAAACCAAAGACACTGAGCATATGATATTCGTTGTAAAAGAGAAATATTTGTTTCCTGCGAGGTTCAGAACTTGTAGCATGAAAAGCGGAATATTGAAAATATTTCTGTCTAGATTGTAGCATTAAAACTATGGTTTGAAATTTGATTACAAGTGCTGTGTAAATTTTGGCAGAAATAAGCAGTGAATATGGATATTGATATCCAGGATACCAAGGAGCTATACTATTTCATACATCATGCGTGCGACGCTGTGGCAGCAAGCAAGATTTCTTGCAATCTATGCGTTTGCAACGAAAAATATTTCAATGTCCCTCACTCAGGCGATCTGCACTGATGATGTCGACCATACACAGTTGTCGGTGCTCCCGCTGCCACGTTCCCACAGTTGAGCCCTTCCTGTTGAAATTGCTGCTCTTCGGTGGCTATGGGTGTACAATCGGCACTTTCTCCTGTAGGTTTCTCACCGACAATAACAATTTCTTTTTCGTTATTACGGCGAGAACTGAAAATATTTCATGGCTCATAAACAAAAATGCCATTGAAAGTCTTACTATGTGGCTTCGCAGTTTAGTTTCCACGTGACGTCACATGCAGGCTCCCTGTTCTGGGTACGTCACGATAATACTTTCAATGTCATTGAAAAGGAAGACGCCACAGGGTCGTTCGACATTCTTTTGTGCCCTCCCTGCTTTCTTCTGTTCAACAGCCGTGCCAAGGAGGAGCACAAAGAAACGGGAGGGTGCACCGGCACTAAAATCAGATGTCACGCGAGTGACGAAGACATTCGCGGAGTTGCACGTTTTGCTGGCCGAACTCCTTGCATAGCTTCCACAGCATTGCACGTGATGTATGAAATGGCGAGTACTCAGGGAAACTCGAGAAAAAAACTGCCGATGTACAAAGGCCCACCTCAGCATGAACGTGGTGAAAAACTATTCTGTGCATTGCACGCATTTCAATTACTTTGGCCTCAAGTGCTTTGGCAGTTTCAATGTAATGTAGAGCAAGTACGTCTCAGCGCTCTCCACGTGGTCTAGATAACTTGGATTATACCAAAGTTGGTGTAGCAGGGCATCACTGCTTGACAAACGCGATTCACTGGTCATGACGAGAATGATGCATAATGCGTGCCGAATGCATCATGAAACCATTTCCCTCCGTATTACGTGGCACATATCCCGGGTGCATAACACAGTCCCTGTCAATCAAGTACGCGTCACACGAGATTCACAGTATGAACCCCGTAACCGCGAACATATGCATTAGAAATTCCGTCAGACGCCAGCCATCGCAAGAACAAATATTATGACTAACAATGACAAAACACAGCAATGCCTGTCTCTAACGTTACATTAAAGGCATTTTCAATGTGGCCAGGGGATTACAAGACCTCATTGCCACGTCCAAGACAGGTGGCATTGTGCATCTTTTCCTCCAACAAGCATTTACGGTTTCAAACAGCTGTATTATACTTCACTGCACGAATACCCTTCATAGCCGCAAACATGAACTGATCCAATAAGTGCTGTCCAGCTGTTGGCACTCACTGGACACGGTGATGAGAACTGCCAAGAGCCTGTTTCACACATGAACACAAGTTTGTGAAGCATGCCTGCATTCTCCGTCATAACAGGCAAGTACTGCATATCAGCTCACCACTTCTGGTGTTGGTATCAATCATGTTGCTGTAAGCGTCGTTATGCAACTGTGAACTGGTTATTAAACACTTATGTGATGCTTGAAGATATGTGTTTGTATAACATTCGTCCACATCTCTAGTGTCCTTTTGTGTTCTGTCTGATAAAATATGCCTGTCACCTACGCGTAACACAGACTCCCACGGCTTGAGAGATCTGCCAATTTTTTTTATACAGTAGCGTAGAAGTGCTTGCTTCACAGAAATTCCGGCATTGGCATCGTTGGATGTGAGCAAAAAATGATCTTATCTGTGACCATATAATCAAGGAATACTCAAATTAAAAAATAAAAATTTTTGGGTACGAGTGAGAATCAAACTCGCGCCTTTTGCATGACAAGCAGGTTAGAAGCTTTACAGTGAAAACCATTACGAGATCGCAACAAGGGTTATGTGTGCTGTAGTTGTCCCCTGCACCAAATCTGTAACCACTGTCATGCTAAGTAAAAAAAAATTTAATGCCAAGTACACAATGGGATTCGAACCCGGGTCTTGTGCGTGCCAGCCCAGTGTTCTACCACAGAGCCACGCCAGTGCAAACTGACCTTAGGCAGGCTTGATGTCTGGAAAGGGATTTTGTTAATCAGTAATAATGCATTTTAGAACAGTAAAGAAACAAGGTGTCACACAACACGAATGCTCCACCCCATTACAAAAGCTTCGTTTTTCAATAACTCACAGCGCAAGAAGAACGAAGACTTGTGCTGCGAATTATCGAAAAATGAACTATTACCAAGTAGAGTAGCCCAGATTTTCTTCACCTATTAACTGTGGCGCATACCTACTTCAGGCGTAATTCTCGATCGTTGTCAGCTACAGCATAAAAATATGGCAAAAAATTCCTGGCAAGTATGTAGCTGGTACCACACATCTTCGAAGAATGATATTGAATGCCTCCTTACTACACAAAAATTATGATTTAAGGTGTAAGGGGTACCCAGCAAGTGTGCTCGTAGCAATCACCCAAGAGCATCAAACAAAGGCTCTGAAAGGCCGATCTTCCAGCTTTCGTTGCGACAGTGCTGCGCGTTCCACGCAGACCTGGAGGTCTTATTCTATAGGTGCGAAGCTGACAAACAACTTCTAAAGCCTGCTCATAGGAACTGCAAGCAAACGCCCAGAGAGAGCATTTAATGCAACGAATACAAGGCAATGTTTGCCACAAATAGCAGTTTCGATAAAACCAGGCATCATGAAAATGCCATGGCATCATGAAAATGCCATGCTGTGATTGCGCACCCAGTGTGCCCAGTGTTCCACGACCAGTTGTAAAGTGGCTAAAGGAAGACTCCGAGCCGCATGCGCAAAGTGCTATGGCGAAATGCACGACACGGGAGTTGTCGCACAGAGGGAAGAAACAGACCGTGGGATGGCGCACGAAATGTACATTTAATGCGAATGAAGGGTTTACAAGGTTACAACTGCCGACCGTTCTTAATATATAGTACAAATGATAAATGAAGTGAAAAACATTGTCCACAGAACAGTTGCAGGTCCCACTTGGTAAACCCACCGTGCAGACTCCCTCTTGCTTATTCGGCAGCAGCTACACCGTCATCAGTCTTGGACTGCTTAGCTTTGCTATCCCCACCCTTATCTGCTTCAGCGGCTCTCTTCTTGCCCCTTTCCTGCCTCCTACCACCCTGTCCACGGCCCCTTGGCTGATGCTTGTTGCCCCGTTGAACATTCTTGAGTCGGTTCTTCCGGTCTTGCTTGGCTGCCATCAGCTTCTTCCAGTACTCGACTTCGTCGTCGCCTTCAACAGCCTCCGCCGTCACCTCGTTGTCGTTGATCTTGAGGGGCTCTTCCTGTGCTCCCAGTTTGGCGAGGACTGCGAGCGCCGACCCTTCGTCCGCGAAACGCAGCACGGCTTCGGGCTGCCCTTTGGTGTAGTCGACGAACGCGACCTTGGCGTACGGCGCGAAGGCTTCCTTGAGGTTCTCCCAGGTAGTCTGTTCGCCGAGCCCTTTGACGCGCAGGATGCAGCCGAGCACGATATCGAGGGCCTCACCCTTCTCGGCGGCGTCTCCACCTCCGTCTCCTCCTTCAGCCGAGGCTTCCTCGTTGGCGGCTTTCTTCTTAGCCTTCTCCTCCGACCTGGCCTCGCGTTCCCGCTTCTTGCGCGCCATGTACTCCGTCTTGAGGGAGCGGATCAGTTGGAGCTCGTTGTACTTGACGTCCTCCTTGGCGAGGAACGCGTCGGCCTCTTCCTTCGTGGCGAAGGTGGCGAACACGGAGCCCTTGAAAGTGCGAGTCTTCGCGTAGCGTCTCATGAAGACGTTGATACACTTGCCGAAACGTCCGAAGAACTCCAGAAGCTCGTCTATGGTGGCCGTTGGCGGGAAGCCCTTGGCGTAGACGCTCAGCTCGTTCAGTTTCTGATAGTGTTCTTTGTTGCTCTCCGGCGCGGGCTTGGCAGGACTGCGACGGATCTTGGTGCCGTCATCGCTAACCTCCAACAGCTGGCTGGTGGACTTTCGAAGCGCTGTGGCTACGACGTCCGACTCGGTCGTGAGACTTTTGAGCCTGTTGAAAGTCAGCAGGGTCTCTATGGTCACCCAGCCGTCGTCTTCCTTCAGCTTTCCCTGCAGGAACTTGTCGCGGGGCAGGTTGAAGTCGCCGAAATAGTATTCAACCTGAGTGATGATTTTGGTCTCCAGCGCCGAAACACCGTCGACGGACGCGTTTTCGACGTCCGCATTCGTCATTGTCGGTGCGTTTCGCGGTGGCAAAATAGTTCACACTGAAGTAGTCGAGGAAACAAAGCGCGTATGGAGGGTTAAGCCGGCGGCGTCATGGCAGGTTGTTACCACGTGCAGCGTTGTCTCAGGCTTGCCGGTGCTCCTTTCAGGCCTCTTAAGCCAGGTGATGTATGACGCTCGAATTCCCAGGGAGCTCCTCGGCTTTTCTGACAGTTCACACAATTTTTCTGTGCTTTTGTATCCGCAAAAGTCACGACCACGCAGCGAACGTGTTTGCGACGTTAATGCCGGCCGATCCACGCTGAAATAAAAAGTAGCCAATCGCTGAGCCAATGCTTTGGCTATACTTGACTGCTTCGTCGGATTGAGTTCATACAACGCCTCCTCTAGAAAGATGCCTGAGGAATGGCTCGCGCTCCCAGCGGAGTTGGCCTGCCTTCAGTTTTAAACAAGCTCCGCGCGGTAGCGCTCACGACCGACACTATTATCACGGCGACGGGTGGTACCAGCTAAGCGCTTTTCCTCTGCGGCCCATAGGGGCGCGTCAGTCGAGAGTTGTTTGAGACCTGCAACTGTGTACTACCAACACCACCTAGATAAGTTCAGATTTAGGTGGTGTTGGTACTACTGTTTTAGAGGCTATGCAAAGTGTTGCGTTGTTGCACCGTTTGCCACAGGTGACGCTAGCGACCGAAAACATTTTCAAAATGAAAAAGAAAAAGGGTGTGGCAGCTGTTTTTTTTTTTTTTTTTTTCATGCGGCAGGCATCTTTCTAGAGGAGGAGTTGGTTCATATTGACTTAAACTGGCTTGTAGCAACGCCTGCTAGATTTCCTGTGCCTGCCGGATTATCGGCGGTCACTTGGGAAGCGGCGGCCGTCAGAACTACAGTGGTGGCGCCACTCAAAAGGGAGTGTCTTCAAAAAAGTTTTTACGATTTTGGAACCTATATGTCACAAAAATCTAGGAGGCGTTGCTTGTACGAGAAATCTAGGAGGCGTTGCTTGTAGCGGTCAAGTACAATATCATCATCATCGAAACATTAAGTTATTTGCGCCACAACGCGCAAACGCTTGTACTAAACACACTCTACATTAGCGCGCTGTAAAATACGTCGCCACGAACCTAAACATACTCGTTCAAGCTTCTACCTGTTCCTTTTCTCTAGACAACCCATAAAACGATGCCGATTTTCCGTCTCAAAAAAGGACATACGTTTACCGTTCTGTTCCCGCGTCATGTCATACCAGCTAGCCCAAACTGCCACACTTCTAGGTTACATAAAGCTTTGCAGCGATCGTTATGCTTCAGCGTCCGAGCATAACACATATTCGCGATTCATAGACGTACGCAGGTTCGATGGGGGTGTCATCGTAGCATCCCCGATGTATGGGGCAGCCAGGGCGGGATGGGTGCATGTGGTGCATGTGTATTGCCAACCAATACCTTCAAACGATGTCTTAAATGAAGATTCGGCAGGACTAGCGATTTGTAGAAAGAGGTCGATGACATGCGCGCCACTTCTCCTCAGGTACAGGTAGTGATATGGACGATACCGGAGGTACCGGTGCGTGACGGCAACCTGCAAAGAGCGGTTGTAAACGCAAACCAAGCGATAAGGCGGATGAGTCGAGAGAAAGGCTTTGAGGTGGTGGAAATAAACAGAGAGGTGCATAGGTGGGGTGGTTTTCAACGAGACAGAATTGACTTCGATGGGCGGCTAAGTCATGAGGTGGGTTAGCGACTTGCAGGGCGCGCAGTAGCTTTTTTGGGGGGCACGCGGGCCCTTCGGTGTGCAGGATAGCTAGTAACGAGGAAAACAACCAGGGAGACTCTTTGATAGGTGTTATGGACAGACACGATTCCAAAGTGGCGCCAGTATCTAAGATAGGTAGAGTCCGGGGCCGAAATAGACGTAGCCACGTAGGCCGAGCCAATTCAGACGTAGGGTATATAAACATGCAGGGTGGCAGGAAGAGGCTGAAGTGGGAAAAGATAGAAGAACAGCTAAGGGAGGAGAGGCCGATGGTATACGGTTTTGTAGAAGCACATCTTAGGGACATGGAACAACCTCCTAACAATCAGGACTACGTGTGGGAATATCGTAATAGCACAGAAGGGAGCAGAAAGGGGGGGTGGTATTAGGGCATTCATTCACGAAAGTACAGACTGGGAAAGGGTCAAGCAGGAGTGCAAGGAACATTTATGGCTAAAGGGGAAAGTGGCAGGGCAAATGACACTCCTTGGTTTGGTGCACTTGTGGACGGGAGCAAAGGCCAGAGAGGAAAACCAGGCAATGGTAAAGTGTATATCAAAGGACATGGAGGATTTAGGAGGAGAGTGTGAGATAATTATAATAGGAGATACTAGGAGATATGAATGCACACATAGAAGATATAGATGGGTATACTGACCCAACAGGCAAAATGATCATGGATATATGTGAAAGGCATGATTTGATCATTTGAAACAGTACTGAGAAGTGTGAAGGGCAAATAACATGGGAGGTAGGAAGGCTGCAGTCGACGATAGATTACGCACTGATGTCACATAGGATGTATGATAAGCTCAGGGGAATGCACATAGATGAAGGTGGCTCCAGAAGTCTGGGTAGTGATCACAAACGTATCAAGCTAAGTTTTGGAAGAGCAGTGAAAGTGGAAAGGAGACAAGATGAGCAACTACAGGAAATTTTTTATTCAGAAAGGCAAATAGAAATAGCTACTAAACAAATTGAGAAAGTAATCACTGAGGGGAATAAAACAGTGTGGACATACATGAATCTAATTAGACTGTTTGAGCTAGAGCTTGCTAAGGCACGTGACAAGTCACCCAAAAAAATAAGACACAAACCCTAAAGTTGGTGGGATGAGGAAGTTAAGAGAGCCATAGCAAAACGTCAGGAAGCCTCTAGGGAACACAGACATGCTAAGCAGCGGGGTGAACCGACAGATGATGCTGAAAGAAAATGGGAAATCTTTCTAAGCTGTAGAAGGGATGCATCCCATCTGATCAATGAAAAGATTAGAAGAAAGGGAGCTCAGTGGCTGGCAGAAGTACATAAAAAAGATAGAAACGCAGCTGCAAAATTTTGGAACCATCTAAACTCCCGAAGAAATAAAACGAGTCTAGAGCAGAGGTTTATAACTACAGCTCAAGGTGCAAGGCTAGAAGGGGATGAAGCTATTGAATATATAAGAACAAGGGTGACAAAAAAATTTCAACAAAGAAGTGCTTTATGCACCACAATAGACAAGGATAAATCAAGTGGCGCAATGGCTTCATTTTCACAAGGATAGTGGGAAAGGGCTGAGAAGAGGGTTCTTAGTAGTACATCAACAGGCCTAGATGGCATTCCAATTATGCTGATAAAGACATTAGGTCCAAAGTCTAAGCAGGCTTTGAGAGAGGCAGTGAGCCAAATAGTAATCGATAGTGAAGTCCCCGATGGATGGAAACCTAGCAGGATGAGCATTATCGATAAAGGAAAGGGGGAAAAAGCTGACATAAACAACTACCGTCCTATAACAGTGACATCAGTGGTCTACAGGCTGGCGATGCAGATTATAAAGACTGCAGGCAAGAATAGAGGATGAGGGAGTGCTGGGGGAACTGCAGAATGGGTTTCGGAAACACAGGAGGTTGGAAGACAATCTGTTCTCACTGACGCAGTGTATCGAAATAGCAGAAAAGGAACACAGGCCCCTGTGGCTAGCATTTTCGGATATCAAGGGAGCGTACGATAGTGTGGTTCAAGAGGACTTGTGGGGAATAATGGACACACTAGGTGTGGAAGATGGAGTCACTAATTTTTTAAAGGATAACTATAAAGGTAACAAGATAGTTATAAAGTGGGAAAAGCAGGTATCCAAGCCCACAGAGGTAAAACGGGGGCTTAGGCAAGGGTGTCCTCTATCACCCTTGTTATTTATGATGTACCTACAAGGATTAGAGGCCAAATTAGAGGCAAGTGAACTGGGCTTCACCTCTGTTTCGTCAAAAAAGGAAAACTCAATTAACAGGCACTACCAGCATCGATGTACGCAGGTGATAGAGTGCTAATGGCCGACAACAAGGAAGATCTGCAGAGATTGATGTACATCTGCGGTAATGAAAGAGATAGGTTGAATTTGAGATTCAGTAAGGAAATATCAGCAGTCATGTTTTTTCATGATAATGAAGCTAGTGAGCTTAAAATACAGGAAATCACGCTAGAGATGACAGATAAATACAAATGTCTGGGTGTATGAATAAGCAATGGGACCGAGTACCAAAGGGAACACGAAATATATGTGACTAAAGGTAACAGGAATGCAGCGGTGATGAAAAACGGGGCACTGTGGAATTACAATAGGTATGATGTTGTGAGAGGAATATGGAAAGGGGTCATGGTTCCTGGTCTGACGTTAGGCAATGCGGTCTTGTGCATGAGATCAGAAGTTCAAGCAAGATTAGAAATTAAGCAACGTGGAATAGATAGGCTTGCCTTAGGAGCTCACGGGAATACATCAAATCAGGGAGTACAAGGGGATATGGGATGGACATAATTTCAGGGTAGGGAAGCTAGCAGTAAGATAAAATTTGAGAAGCGATTGAGAGGAATGGGGGAAGAACGTTGGGCTAGGAAGGTATTCTACTTGTATGTGAAGAATGTCGATACAGCATGGAGGGAGAGAACCAGGAAATTGACTGGTAAATACTTAAAAAATAGCAGCGGATCAAACCAAAAAGAATTATTGGTTAAGAAGAAGGTGAAGGAAGCCGAGACTGATATGTGGAGAATCGGCATGATTAAGAAGTCCGCGCTAGAAATCTATCGAACATTTAAGCAGGAAACTGTCAAGGAAAGGATCTATGATAATACTCGGGGTAGTTCTCCACTGTTTGAGGCCAGGAAGGGAGTATTGCAAACCAAGACATATTGGGCTGAATACGAAGGTGTAGACACAGTATGCAGTACATGTGGAGACGAAGAGGAAACTGCCAAACACTTGATAATGTTCTGTAAAGGGCTTCACCCTATAGTTCAGGATAATGGCACAGAGTTTTTCAAAGCACTGGGTTTTAAAGATAGGGAGGGCAAAATAGACTTTAAACGGGTAGAATTAACTAGAAGGAGGTTATATGATTGGTGGCTAAAGTCAAGGCACGAGTGAAAATTAAACCCTTCACTGCAAAGTACGATCTTCAACCTCACTATTTAGAGGGTAAAAAAAATAAATCTAGTTTTTGGTTCACTAAGTATTACGGCTTGGTGGCGTTAGCCACGGCCCGATCTCAAGGGTATAGGCATATGAATTCATCCATCTATCCTTCACCCAGAGGCTTGGCTGGCTACTCCCTACTACGGCACGTACTTATACAGAGCAGCTGTGCCCAACTTCTTTGCAAGTTTCTATCTTTTTGGTGATATTATCAAAGAAGCTATAGCTCAGCTGTTTTTCACTCAGCTAGTGGCATTATAATTCATATATGGCTTCTGCTATGGTGATTGCTCTTGTACGAGTGCAAGAGTTGCTTCAGATAATTTATTTCAGATAATATTCTATCTCGTGCTGTCAACTTTTCAAGTCAGCCATGTAACGTGTAAGACATTTAAAGGACATTTAAAGTACTTATGATTAAATCAAGAAATATTTACTAGTCATTAAGGGCAAAACCTTTTGCATGCGAGTGCGTCCACAAGGGGAGTGTTTTTCTTTTCCCACCGACGTGAAATTGCAGGCAAGATTAGTCGATAGCGTGGACTAACGCGCAAGGCATTGGTTGGCAATCTTGAAAGGCAGTTCACATGGATACGCAGCATAATAACTTTTTTATAGCACAGACTGAGACGCGCACAAAAAGAGTAAACGACACCAGCGCTTCCAGATACATGCAGATCTTCAGTGAACTAACCGAAGTATACCTCATAGCTACTATGCAGAAGAAACATCCACGATTCCAGCGGAGGCAGCCGACCCCCCGTGCAACCTCCTTTGGATGCCCCTGCTAATTACATTTCTTTGATACGTTTTGCAGCAACCGGTACTGTGTAAAGAAAACACTGCCATGAAGGTGCTGGATAAGTGCACTTTTATTTACCGCATTAGCGAGTAATCACGAGATTACAAAAGCAAAAAAATACAGCCGAGGTGCTCATATATTGTGCTAGCCCCGCGACAGACAATACAAATAGTTGTTCGCATGTCACGACTATCACAAATACAGCAACCATGCAGATATTACAGACACATCATTCATGCACTCAGCACTGAAAAAAGGCAAAACACATTTTTCAAAATGTTTACTTCAGGCAAACACACAATCGTACTATTACAACAAAGTACAAAGCCAAGCTGCTTATATAAAGCGTACAACACATCGCAATTGAAGACTGTCTACAACCACAAGACATGCATGTAAGCATTTGGCGCTAAAAATTTACTGATGTCTCAGATCAACGCAAATCGTGACAAAATGCGTACACTGCACTTTGCTGATCCAATAAAAAAAAAGCAGTGGTCAATTAAAGTGAAGGCGTTGGATGAAGCGCTTATTAAGCGCTCTCATTACACAAGCGCCCGATAAGTGACTAGAAACCTCGTGCAGCAGAGCTCGGCCATTTTAAAGCAAGTACAACCGCATGAGAAGCATTCTTGGATACTGTATTAAAAGAAACGCATTACAATATGCCACTCAGGCATGCAATCTCTACAACCAACAAGCCAAAGGTTCAGTTAATGACTAAATAAGCTGCTGACACTTAGTTGCCTGACTTTGAACAGCACTCGGCATGACTCGTGAATAGTCACAGCTCCTGCTCACACATAGCAGAATTCTATTGTCAACTACATGGCGTATGTCTTGATTAGCCACAAATGCATAAGAACCATTCTCAGTTACTGTACACATATGTAATGGATCAAGAAGAAGTGCACACCACTTGCAACAGATCACAGTGAATAAAAAGGATGACGTGACACTTTATACTAAGAATATTGGCAAAATGTAAGCTGATGATATAACGTGCGAAAATTTCGGCAAAAATGATGAAACATAAACACTTTGATGATGGAAGCTGTAAAATCTGTACCACTAGTGTGGTAATGCTGCTTGGCAGCACTAAAAAGATGAGTGGAACTTGAATTAGAACGTTCAAAATGCATATTATAGCTTACAAGCATAACTATCATTTGTGAGATAACATTTAATGCAGAAACAAGCATCAATTATAAGATGTAAATGAAGGGTACGGATGTAGCTCATACTTTTGTGCATATCTGCCTCTTTGGTATGTTACATCTTGTATACACACTTAACTAAACGTGTATTAGTAAGAATGCCTGTTTTTCCATTTGTCACGTTACCTTGAAGGCTTTCATTCATTAACACATTGGTATGAAGGTAACATGTCAAAGAGGAGAAACATGCGACGTAACCTGTCCACACTCTGTTGAACTACACAGTATATCTGTCACTTTCAGGTGCGCGAAAATGTTCAGCCAACACAATGCGTCCAAACAGTCAATTTGCCGCACACCTTCCGGGTGAGGCCAGCAAGTGACGGGTACCTGGCAAACCCCTGTGATGGCAAACAGGTGCATGGTAATGTGGCGGCGGGCATTCCGCATTGCCTCGGATACACAGCATGGGCCGGCAACCCTGGCCAGATGGTTCCGGAAGGATTCGGTGTCGCAGAGCTCCTCGAAAATCTCAGCCGGACGCCGCTGGATGCCAAACTTCTGCGGGTCCAGAGCGAACTCGACAGCTCGGTTAAGGTAGGAAATGTTACGGCGCAGGATCTCGTTGATTTCGAAAATAACGTCCTTAAACCCGGGCCCTTCCCAAATCTTGAGGGAGGTGAGGACACGGTTCGCAGGCAGCTCCCGAGCAATGACACGCAGTTCGGACAACTTGGTCGTAAGGTATCCAAAGTGGGTGAGCGTCTTGTTACCCTTCAGCATGTCCACAAATGCGTCGGTGCACGAACTGCTGATGGCTGAGAACTCTATCTCCATGTGCAACACAGACTGGTTCTTTTTCAAGCCCTTCATGACTGTTTCCAGGGCCACATTGTCCGCATCGCAGCTGTTGATCTGAATGTGCTTCAATGTCTTTGTTGTGCTTAGCAGCTTCGAAAACCTCCTTGCAGCAGAACCGTCCATATTGATTTGACACTCTATACACAGAGATTGGAGGCATGGAACTGAAGCCAGTGCAACAAACAGGTCCTTCAGGCAGTCGGAATCTACATCAACACTTGCGTCCAGATGCACCGACGTGATTCGGTCTGCGTTCATGCGAAGGCTGGCTGAGAGCTGAAAGACTCCCGAGAGCATGTCGTAGCATAGTCGCACACGGCCGTGCGCGGCAGTACGGTTCAGGGCTGTCGTGACAGCCTTTTGATCATCTTCATCTTCTGTTTCAAAGCAGCCTAGCCTCAACTCTTTAAGAACTTTGTTAATGGCGAGAGCTTCGACGAGTGAAACCACTCCCTGCGAGTTAATACGGTTAGCCTCGAGGTTGAGAGTCTCAAGGTGCATGTTGAACTTCAGTGCTTGAGCCAATCGCACTGCTCCAACGTCGTTGATAAGGTTGTCCCTTAAGTCTACTTCGAGAAGGCCAGTGTTGAACTCCAGCATGATGGCGAGAGACTTTGTTTCCGCTTGGGCAAGGCTGCATGAGGACACTGTCAGGTGCTTGAGAGTGCTGTTGCTCTTTAGAACTTCAGCAAGCCTGTCAATACCAGCTGGAGTAATGTGGCTACCATGAATCTTCAGCTTTTCCAGGCTACGATTGGTCTTCAGCCCCTCCGCGATGAGCATGAGCTGCTCCTCAATGAAGCATGGTACATTGCTTAGCGACAGATCGCACAACTTGGAAGATGTGGCCAGGTATTCACCGAGGAAGCGTGCTCCGCCAATTCCAAGCGCATTGTCGTCGAGCCAGATAAGCTCGAGGCTACTGTTGCGACACAGTCCCTTCATAAGCTCTGTGCCTGCCTCAGGCGACATGTCATTTTCCAGGAACTTCACGTTCCGCACACACTTTGCCCTCGCTATCATGTCCCCAATGCGTGTCGCTGCACTCGGCCCGAGAGACAGTTTGAAGATGCCAATAGTTTCAAGTGCTGGCATCTTGCACAGTGAGTAAACGAGTGTGCGCTCGGTGCCCGGCAAGAAGTCCCAACAAGCAATGGCCAGATGCCTAAGTCCCCTGTTACAGGCCAGTGCATCACAGAGTATCTGGGGATAACCGGACGCCACGGCCGTCTTGTCTAGGTGCAACGTCTGTATGCACTTGTGCCTCTTGAGAAGAAGGTGGAACAGGACGCAAGCATCAAACAGCCCGATGGTGTCAGAGTTTGCCACCACTGCTTCGTTGAGGGAGCAGACACAAAGCTTACGGGGCTCTTCCTCTTTCAGCTCGATGTCGACCTTCACTAGGATGCTGTTGAATGTCCTCAAGTTGTTGAGGATCCAGCACGGCTCTGTGTCTGTCACCGAACAGGGCATTTCCATATTGAGGCCTGCACGTTGAAACAATATCTGCATTTGTTGCAGGCGCTTCACAATATTCTCTACTGGGGGCAAATTGGGACAGTTGTTGTGTAAATGCAGCGCATACAGATGGCCCGCACCAGCGGCCACAGTCACGGCTGCAGGTCGTTCATGTCGTGCGTCGTGGCTACTAGACCGACTTTTCCAGCTTTTCGAGGATGTCGCAAATTGTTTGGCACCTGGACAGCTACTAGAGGGGGGCATGTCATTCGCAGTGTCAGTTTCACTGCAGCCGAAGTTGTTCCAGGATCTTCCTGCAACTGACCTGTGCTGTTTTCTATCACGTTCCTGATAAGAAGCATGCCTGGGTGCATCTCTGACGCGTACCGATAAGTTGTCCTCACGGCTCCCCGAAGCACTGGCTGAACTGTTTGTATGTGACGTACGTGGAGGCCTCCCGTTGCTAACAACAGCATTTCGGACATAACTTGCTTTGTCACAACGACTACTCGGTGCCTTTTCGGGTTGTCTGACGGCCAAATTGGTGTGCCTCTTATTGAGCAGAGCAAATGTTGTGGCATCGCTACCACCTCCCTCATTTTCGCAATCCGAATGCCTGTGCCCAGACTTGTCATGAGAAGAAGTAGGCATTGAAGATGCTGCTGAGCATGCCTTTTGGTCCATGACAGCCACATTCGGCTTGGCAGTGTTGACAGCTCCAGAGCTGCTGTTGGGGGCCTCTATTGTCTGGCTGGGCCTGGAAAGGTTAGGAAACAATAAGAGATGCAGTAACATTACAAGCTGGGCCAGTTGATGATGGTTCATCGTGTAACCACGCAAAAAAAAAAAACAGATGATAAAACAAAAAAAAAAACACACACACAGGACAATAGTAAGGGCAGGTCAAGAAAACATAGGTGGCATGAGAGGCGAAGGGGAGAGGAAATGACAGCAAGCTGTGCCACATCCACAAGAACAAACGACACATCAACCATGGACACCCTTAAAACAAGCATAAGACATTCTGGCCGATATTTAGCGATGCATGGCAAAAAAAATGCGGGTGCACAGAGAAATATAAGGGTAATTGTTGAGGCTGTGCATGTATATAATAATCACGGCATATCCATAAAGTGAATGATAATGAGTGAGCAAAGCAGTGGGATTGCTCAGTGTTACTATAAATCAACAGTGACATTGACCACTCACACATGTAAATGAGTGCCAAGCGACGCACAGTTATATACAATGCTTATTGGTCATAACTGGTATGTTGAGTTGTGAATTTTGTTTTGCCTTCATTATTACCGATTTGCGGTATCGAATCTAGCCTGAAGTTGGCAAAGACAAGGTCTACGCTCGTTCCCCTGGTGGTTGCTGCTTGTTTCCAGTCTCACAAAATGCGACATAAAGCACCTTGAGACATCATATACTGCACAAACCAGTCCGTGATCATCATCGTCATAGCATATAGATGGTACCTTGCATGTGCTAGGCTGTTATGGCTGAGAGAGAATGTGCTGTATGGAACGTGCTTGCTCTCTATCACCAGCGTCATCGTCAGCAGTGGCTACGGCGCACAAAAATGCCAACGGAGATGGTTCGCCCATACGGAGCTTTGGCCCCAAAAGCAATTGAAGGTCTAGCTGTTATACATCATATCTTCTCCAACAAGCTAAATAAGTGACCCATAAATGCTTAACACTTATCTCGCACTTGTTGGAAAGTTCTAAACTGCGAATGAAATACTGACCTTATGAGACTTCTCGAGCCTCTACATGAAAAGGGATAACTTATATCTCAATAATGTAATAAAGAAAACATTTCTTTTTTTGTCCACCCCCAAGTTTCCCGTTGCCAGAGGTAGTCAAATAAGCGGCAAACGCTAGCTTTGTCCTTCATCTGTTTTGCTCCCGCTGCACATAAATCAATTTGTTCAGTGTAACCATGATGGGAGAGCTTGCTTTGAGACTCAATCATGCAATGAGCAGTCACTGGACAAAACTCGCATAATATAACATAAATAGTAACCTGACTAAAATAATGTAACATTATGGAACTACACGTACGGCTGAAAAATAACGCACCATCATGCAACCCCTAGTCCCTACTAAAATCACGTCACCTAAGCCATGCAGCTAAAAATCCTGTAACTAGTCCCATAACTAAACTAACATTAACAACTTTTCATATGAATAAACATATGTAACATCAATCAAAAACTACTCAAATGAATGTTAAAAATTTTCAGCAGATACCACCTACTTTGGGAATCGGTGTTACGCGAAGCATGCAAAGGGACGGTGACTGTGTTGCAATTTTTTTTATTGAGCCGTATGTTACAAAATGACGCTAAAGATGCACACAAATATATGCACAGACATATGCTGAACAGGCACATGTGTTTTATATAACCAGTCGTTCACAGTTTCATAACAATGCGAACAGCAACATGGGTATTACCAGCAGCAAAAGCGATAAGCTGATGTGCAATGCCATGTAAAGCTGTAGTAAGTTGTATGTAGGCCCAACTTCTGTGAATGGTGCTTAACTACAACTGACGTGTGGGACTCATGCATCACAGGAGCACATACGTGATGCTCATGAAATTAGATGGGCAGCAGCTCTGTGACCGTTTGATGTTTCACCAACATTTCACCTGCAGAGGCCGTTTTTCGAAACAGTTCTGAGACCTGGAGTGGCTTTGTGGTAGGACACTTATAAACGCCTCGCAGAATGCTTGTGTTCGATTCCTGCTGGGTCCCTAATATTTACTCTTTGCATTCATACAATCAATGCCACTGATAACAGTTATTCATAATGTTTTTGCATTTAGATTCTTTGCGTACATCATTAATAGATAGTAATGCAGCATTTATTTTGGCAAGACAAATGAGAAAACAATGAGTACACTAATGTACTATTTTACACGTGGCAGCAGGCACACAGTTTGGTTCTGTACCTTCTACAATGCTGTCAAGAAAAGTTGTCGCCGAGTACATACAACCTTAATTTAGGGCACAACTGCATGAAATAACACTAGGAAAATAAGCTTTGCACCCTCCTGGCCATTCTATGTATAATAATGTTTGATAGTTTTTGTTGCCTGCGCATTCCTGCTGACTGCACTTAGATGGAGGCATTATGTCAAGGCATTTTTTGCATGCTAGATTTAGGGTTGTGTGGCGCACGCTATCAAGAAGCCCTATACGTTAGGTGGACCGCATTGCCGAAGTGCTGCTTTGAGATGTTGTAGCTGTGTGAATCAGTCAGTCTAGATGCTAGAGACTCCTGAGTAAAAACAAAACAAAGACAAGAATGTACAGACTAATGAGTCAGGAGCCCAAACAAGCTGTTCATTGTATGTAAACAAAACCACTGCATTGTCTACTCAAGGGGCAGGTGCTGATGAAACCTACGGTCCCTATACACTATTTTCGAGGACCGTGCACCACCGTAGAAGGAGCGACAATGAGCCGGTTTGAAGTCTATACATGAGGTCACGCTGCAAATGGTCATCTAAAAGCTCTTTGCTTGCAGCTGGTCTGCAGGTGACCCACAGGCCAGACATGCAGCTTACACGTGAACCTAGACATGAGTCTATAGAATTAGAGCTGGGACATGAGTGAGTGAGCGAAACTACTTTATTCAGTCCACAATAGGTGCGAGCTAACTCGACGCCACCAGGCTGGGATCTAAATTTTTTGGGGAAAAGTAACGGCTTTATGACGGATGGCATGCAGTAGCAGTTATAACTGTGAGATTTTTGAAAATTAAAAATAAATAACCACAGAATAAAATCAAAGAAATAAATATATATTAATCAAAATATTAAGAAAAGGGGGAATACAATAGTGTAACAGAGCAGATATTTCATCAAATCTTGCCAAGAAAAAAGTACAGGACCCTTAAGTTTTGCCTGTTAACAGTTGAACGCAATAGCAATATCAGCATGCACACACACACAAGCTATAACTTTCCTAATCTTTAGCCTGTTTTCGGTTCTTCTAGAGGACCTATGGTGTCACCTATTCACAGATTCAAAGTATTTCCGGTAGCCCTTTTTCTGCTTCATGCGGAAGAAGTCTGCACCATTAGCAGACTGACAGTGCCCTCTATAGATTCGACGCAGATCCGTTGCGAGATCCACTCAACGGAGCAACTTTTTCTACTCCAGGAAAAGCGGTGAATTCGATCGGAAGTCGTAAGCACCGCAAGCCCTGGATCCGTGCCAACCACCGTATTTTCTTACAACGTGGTGCCAACTGTGGGTGCACCAACGGACACCGGTCATGACGATCGCGCGCTCACACTTAGCTATAGCGTAGCATCACTGTGTCCAGCGAGCCCACTCGTACAAGAAGGGAGACCCACATCGCATTTCATTCTTATCCTGCCATTTGCTCCAGCGGGAGTGCGTGTTTACCATTGGTAGACTCCCCTTCCGTTGCCCTCCGTCAGAGTGGAGTGCTCCATCGCAGAGTTGGTCCGCCGCTCCGGACATGCTATCATTTTTGCAGCTACCTCGAACTGTTGATCAGAGCCAATGCAGCAATGACGCTCACAACCAAAGACGCAGCCTACACGGAACAGGCTCCCTCGCGTTTGCTTTTTATCTTCATTCAGCAACGCCAGCAGAAATGTCAGAGCACCTGCTGTCAACACTTTAGAATAGAGTACGCGAAGGTTGCTGTCGTTGAAGTACCCCGCTATTTTCATCACTTGACGGGGGCCCGCAAAGGAGAGGTGTCCTTCATGTCTGCTTTTGTCGTACTTCCCGTTGATTTGCAGCAGCGTTGCCGCTACTATGCGTACGATACATGCATGGTAGTGGCAACCGCTCATGCAAAGCTTTGAGTATGCCATGATTACTTAGCTATGGCCATCTTTCTCCATTGACGCTGCACACAGCCCGCTTCGTTCGGCCTAGACAGTGCAGGATAATACCCCTGTTACAAGGCACTGTAATGTCATTTGCTGCGAATGACATTGGGTGTTAATGTAATTTTTCTTGCTGCTGCGCAGACATAATGAATGACATTCACACCTAATGACATGTGCCCGTTGAATATATTCACTGAACTCATGGAAGCGTGCCATGTGTAAACTCGTCAACAGGAACTTGACAAGACATTACAAAATCGACACCTTAAAGCAAGTGTAAATGATGTTCAGATGTTTATTAAAGATTGTTGTTAACTTTTCAGTAACTTTTCAACGCACAAAGGAATAGTGGAAACAATTTGTGCCGCTATAGTCTTTTTTCTAGACTCCGAATGGATGCTATGACGCCTCCTGTCGGCCATATTTGCAAACGCTTGCTGTTGTGTTGCAGCATTGCCGCGTTGGACTCACTAGTAAAAGAACACACACGCAAGTGTGGGACACGAGTTTAGGAAGAGTATTTTCAAAGCAATTATCTTTTCTTGGGAAGCACCACAATTCTCTGTTAATCCTCGACAATGTCGAAGCCCAAAGAGCAGCTAAAGTAAACGAATCAACGTGTAGCCGCAGCTCAATACCTCGTCATCTGTGATATTTTTTCCATGGCAAGCTTGAGGCGCTTCAGTCGGTTCTGATGCTTCATTAGCAGTAGCTGGAGAGCAAATAATGCTTCTTTGCCCTGATCACCATTTATAACGATCACAAATTCATGAATACTGTCACGGTTCCTAACATTGCCGACTGCAAGTTGTAAGCGGCTTTAAGCTAGTCTTATTTTGGACGTGTAGGAGGATTCTTTTTTCTACTGATGCT